TTGTGTAGTACGTCATCAAAAAGTGGTGTATTGAGCCTCCTTAAAGAAAATTGCATATAAATCTGTCTTTGTGTTCTTGCATACCTTTGCTCTTTTCGGACCATTACTGTTTTTATCAAGTACATCTTATGGTAAATTTTGTATTGCGTGTTTTAAGCAATAGATTCATGTTCCATTATCTGTTTGAATATGAAACAAACTTGAATAACTACAGTTACTGATATTTTAAAATAATTGTTAAGACATTCCTACACGCTGTCGTTTTTCACTCATTTTTTCAAAATAAAGGGTGATCTTTGAGTACGAAGCTTTTTTACTATCAAACGTTTCTTAAAAACATTGTAAACTTCTCTCGATATGATGTATATCAAATTTAATATGTGTCTTAAAGTCAGTGATACATCATCAGATATTATTTGTTGAAATTGGGCAAATAGTACATAAGTTCTTATAATTTTTGTTGGCAAGGACGGTACCCATTTTTGATGCCCATTATATAATTTTTAATCATTGAAATCCACCTGCTCATTTGTCCATAAAACAGGCATTGGTTGCTGTTTATGTCACATATTTCAATGAAAATTTCTTTGGGATTTTTAACACGTTTTACAGAAGCTTTAATGAAGCTTTTATCTTCACTCTATTTTACCGATTCTTTACCATTCATTTATAATGCAGTGTCTCGAATAGCCCTTGTTTCCTAGCTTCTCAAGATTTACTATGTGATGAAAAGTGGTCACATAAACTGTTATCAATTCATTAAAGATTCAATAATGAGAAAAAGTCAAGTTTAATGCCATATGATATCTATGCTGTATGTCATCAAGCAAATGACATTATTTATTGAACGTCCCTCGTAACATTTACTTCACTTCTGACGCCGAATTACCACTAATTCTACCTATATTATTTAACTGAAGTAAAAATAAGTAACATCTTTTTGGATATTTATCATCTTCCATGCAAAGTATCTTTAATCAATATGCAATAAATTTCTTAAAGTACTGTAGCATAAGAGGATATCTCCCTAATTCTCCTAGTACAACTATTTCAGGTGTATTGTTCTTGGGTCTTAAAACTCTTCTACAAAACTTTGTATGTATAGATTTGATACATTTAGATAACTCATACCCCCATATTTCAGCACCATAAGTCAAAATAGGTATAATCATTCTATCAAAAATGCAAGAGATTAGTTTATATGATGCATTGTACATGTAATCATCATCGAGCCCATGGAGTAACATGCACATGTTTGAATTTCCGGAGGATCCAAAGTTTTTTCAGAACATGAATTAGTGTTTCAAAGTGGCAAAAGAACTAAATGGATATCGAGTTTCTAATAACGCTTCGCCATATTTTACCCCTGACATCGCTTGACCCTAACATCCGCCGAAATGCATTATCGTATTATAGTACAAGTCGAGAATTATGATTAAAATTATTATAGTGTAGAAATATATTGCAAAGAACAAATATAATATCGTAACATACCATATATTTTGTTGTAATTTTACAGAGTTTGTAAGCCGAAAAATGTATGGTCTTTGTCTTTTTTAAAAATGTATTATCTTGAGAAGCATTCTGCAAAATGCTACACGTATTTAAAATGTTTTATTTGTAATGGAGCTTAGTCAGGGCCCCATCCCTGGTAGCTGCAAGTTTATTAGTTCATATAATGATTGTTAATGAATAGGATCTGTGAAATAAAGATTTAAAAAAAACATTACCGGGTAAATCGAAAATTATGTTATACTTTTTAAAAGGAAAGTGGGAAGTGATTTTTACACAACAAACAAAGAGAATTTTGCAAAATTTTACAACAGCCTGAAGTTTGTTGCCTTAGTCGTAAGTTCTTTTGTAAAACATCCCCCAGTGTAATAGTCAAGGAAAACCTAAATGAGGGTGTGACCGGTCAGCAGGGGATGCTCACTTTTCCTTGGCACCTGATCCCACCTCTGATGTTTCGGAGGTCCGTGTTTGTTCTGCTTCTATTTTGTATTGTTTTACGGACTTCGATATTGAATACTGTTTGTTATCTCCATATCCTTCAAGATTTCATCCAGATAATTTAAAAATGAAGCATGCACTGAACTCTGTTTTTTAATCTTTATTCAATGCAAAATGTGTTTTTTAACCGAGAATAAATGGAGAATACATCTGTAAGAGAATTATTTTTGAATTTTTTTAAACCAATAATGAACGGCGATGTATAACCAGATCATCTCATATACCGTATCTAGGTCTATGACGTAAGTTCTCACGACACTTCTTTTGTTAAAATAGTTTGAGGTAACTAGGAAGTTAGAAAATCAAACAAATCTAATTTTGTTTTATTCTCCAATTCATTTGAGGCCAGAAGGGTACGTTATAACATATGTAATCGTTTTATTGGTAAGTATTTTTTTGATAGATTTTATTTTGAATTAAAAAAGAAATTGAAAACGCTTAAATTCAATGATTTATGAGGTTGTATTTCATCTGATTCTTTCTTTAAAATATCCGTTTTGAATTTAAAACTAGTCTGCCTTGTTCCCCGGTTAACAATTTTCTTGTTATCTGTCACTCAATATGAGTAAAATATTCTGAAGAGGGACGTTAAACAATATATGTAATCTGTTTTTGATTAATTAAGTTATTTTTTTCGATGGGTCAAATTTTACAAATTTTACTCATTTCCTATGAAAAATCTCTTCATTTCGCTTATTTGTCGCTTATCGACAATGTTGTATTCGGTAAGGGGGATATTTGTTCAATATATTTCGAAAATAAAGCGAAAAACAGAGTTAAAAATATCAGTCTTGAATTATTTCTTATTCAAGTTTGTTTTATGTCTGTGATCTGGATCGGAATGTAGATTTGGTGTTGAAATGCCGAAATTTAAAGGGAAGAACCACACAAGGAGGGGAAAGACTTGTAAAGCCGATGCTATAAGAATTCTGCCCTCTAATACCCTCTATAATTATACTACGTCCTAAGGTCCATAAGATTTCAAATGAATTTTATTTTCTGCAAGTTAAAGAAAGCAGCGTGGGTTGTTGATTAAATAACATTTTTTTTTGTACCGTCAAAGATTGTCTGATATAAAATTTACATTTAAACCAGAAATCGATATTTACGTCATTGTCACCGATTATTGGGTAGCTTTTTTAATTGGAAATGAGAAGAAACTTGGAATGATTAACAGATCTATTTCGTGGTGACATTGTCCTACATTTGAGCTATATTATTTGAATATCACGCCCCTCACATATATATTTGTAATAATTTTTGTTGGAAGTTGGTTTTTTCCCTTCCTATTTTGTATTGTTGAATGGACTTTTAAGCTCAAATACTGTTTGTTATCATCATATATTTCATTAGAAAGATGCTAGAGTTTCTTTGATAAGATCTCAACTTGTTATCAATTAGTATTTAATATTTATTATTTTAATGATATTTTGTTTAAGGACAGATGATACAAACAATTTTTTTCTTTGAAAAAGATTTAATATCATGTCACAAGTTTAGAAAAATGGATGGTTCTTAGACTTTTTTTCTCCAAAGAACTGGAAACTGAAATAGACTTCGAAAATATAAGAAATATTTCAATAAAAAACCAAATATGGACAAATCACATTCAGTAATGGTTTAGAGGTGAAAACAAATTTCAGAATATGTTACCTTGGTGCTAAAAGTGTAATATAAACTTTAGAAAAATATACCAAGCCAGGTGAATTTAAGAGGAAGAACAAAATGACAAAAGATAAACAATATCACATAAGCTGATTTTTACCTTTAAGCTTTTCCTAATAAAAGTTTTTCAAAGAAAAATTGTTTGTATCATCTGTCCTTAAAGGGATGACATATGTTGTAGGATGTAAAGTGCAGTTGACATATAAACCAATTATGTCAGAAAAAGAGTCCTCACATAACGATACTGATACAGATGTAGATTCTAAACAGTCGGATTCAAGCACCAACTCATCCGAGTCAGAAGATTCACAATCAGAAGACTCAGAGAACGAGACCGGTGTGTATAGTTTTTAATGACAAATATTAATAATTATTTATGATACTATATACATTCAAATAAAAATGTCTCATGAAATATGTCATTTTTCCAAATATTTTACTCAAACACATAATACATTTTTTAAGAATTCATCTATATTTTGTCATACGTACTTGAATGTGAAATGCACAACATAAATAAGGATTTTAAAAATTCAAGTTTTTGCCTTGTTTTCCTAGAAATTAAATAAAATTTTCATTTTACTCCTTCCAACGATTTCTCATTAATATCCCCAACAATGAATATAATACCAAAGTTTGTTATTGTGTTTATTATAGAGGATCAGTCATTTGTTTCCATGGAAGAAGAAAATTGTCTTCGATATTTTCTGGGTATTGGTATCGCAGAAAAGGCCGTGAGAATGTGGTTTGATACTATTATTCCACCAGATCAACTTGAAAATCATTTAAAAAGGCATGAAAATAAACTGTTTAAGAATTCCAGCGAAGAACAGATATCGACTTTATTTCCAAGTGAGAATTTAAATGTCTAACAATTTATTGAGAGGGACTCTTTTTCTTCATAATTTATAGTAATGCTGTGCTTTAACTAATAAGGATTCATGTTTAAAATCGAGCATAGAAAACTTGTTTAAATGCGTCATCGTAGTACTTTTAAATTAGAACAAAACTTTTTTTTCAAGTAATACAAAGGTTTTCAAATCACTGTCCTTAATCATGTCAAAGAAGAAATAAGCCTTATCCAGTTTTGTACTTTTTTCTCTAGAAATAGAGGAATTAAATATTTTTTGTGTGGTAAATACAATTCAGTATTCTTTTTAAAATAAATTACGAGCAGATTTTCTTAAAGCAAAATTATATACACGTTAAGGACCAAGGTATGGTCATCTTGGCTAATTAGCATTTGCTTTACAGAATGCGTGACTATTACTTCAACAAGTTTTGATTTATCATTGCTGTACAAAATAATAAGAAAAACAACCAAAGTTAGAAAACCGAGAAAAGATTGGGGAAAAACTCCGGATGCCCCAGATGTTGAACCAGCTGACGACCTGGAACGAGTCCGGATCTGTCGGAACTCACTTTGTCATGGGCCACAGTCAATTAGCGATACGGAATTTGAAAAGAAATGGAAAGAATTAAAGGAGGTAAAGTAATGTTTTTCTTGTCAGCCTTACATTTACGGAGTAAAGAAGGACATAAAATAACTCTTTTTTCAGCATTTTGTTGGAATTTTCTCTTTTCTCTCAAATTACATTGTAAAGTTGTACGATCTCTTTAAAATAAAATTTTTAGCAATAATTTTAGTGCTTTGATATATAGGAAAAATGGCTTGTGCTCACTACAAAAGAAATCAATTCATAAAAAACATGAATTTTCAACCGAAGGGTGGAAATGAATATGAAAGAATGAGTGCAGTTATTGGCCAAGGTAAAATGTGAAAAAAAATAAACAATCAAATTAAAGCTGCAATACGGCTGCAAATCGTGTGCTTTTTCATTCAAATTTACTCAATATATCTTTCAGGAATAAGGTAAAAAGTTGAAGTAAGCATTTTGAGAAAAATAAATATCCTCTCCGCATTGTTACAACGCACTTTGAAAAATTATGCACTTTGAAAAAATTTTTCAAAGTGCGTTAAATTTTGGGACCAAGTCAACGCACTTTGAAAAAATAAAATTTCTTTTCAAAGTGCGTTAATATGGACCATTTTAACGCACTTTGAAAAACTGTGTATGGATTTGTCAATATTCCTGCAAATCTTAGGTATGATAAATAATTGAACCTGTTTGATAATTCTTCTGTGAAGAGGTCACATCAGGATATGAAAGTGAGCGATTTTGATTTTTCCATACTTAGAAAATTCTTTCTCGCTTAAATGCTTTACTGTACTAATTTTTTTTCAAGTTTGCATGCATTTTATTAAATTTATTGAAATTTATTGAAAGTTTTCAACGTCATACCAGTTATGTAAACATATATATTTGGGTGTAGCATAGGCATCAGTACCGGAAAGGGGGCTTACATGTAGACACATAAATATTTTGCAAAGATATACATAATATATACATGTATGCATTTAAATTGGGGCTTACCTGTGGGGTCAACTTTCAATTTGCTACCGACGGCTATGTACAATGTTTAAGGAAAATAAGAGTTGGGATGAGAGACCTTCTACTCGTCTTCTCCTTGTTCTCAATGAGGTTAAAGGAGTTCATGTAAATTTTAAAAAAGTTTTTCGAAAGATACAATTATTACAATTTGATTTCCTCTATTACTAAAATCTAAGTCTAGAATTTTTATTTTCATTCATATCTTTTTTTCAAAGTGCGTTAAATGCCTCCATGGTAAAAAATTATTATGTGCATTCTTAACGCACTTTGAAAAAAATTTTCAAAGTGCGTTGAGTGTGTCCAAAATTTAACGCACTTTGAAAATTTTTTTTCAAAGTGCGTAATTTTTTCAAAGTGCGTTGCCACACCGCATACAAAATTAACGTTATTAGAATCTGCCGGTTAATCAAGGGTCGTACAACTCAGATCTGTTTACTTGTACCACGTGAATTCTAAAATGGCACGTGCATACAATGTATGGTTTACAATTATAATGAAATATTATTTAAAAGCTATTCTCAGAATCAAAATATCTTTACTCTCCGGTAAATTAATAATAGTTAACATTTTAGTCTGCATTCAGACGAATTTAACATGATTGAATACAAATGTTGACGTTTTGTGTATTTGGGTGCATCAGGCATGCTTACGAAGCTATCTTAAGACTAAGACATATCTTAAGACGGTCTTACGACATATCTTAGTCTTAAGTCAGGCCATCGAAGCTGTCCTATCTTAGGAGACCACCAAATCTTAGTCCTAACTTTAAGACGACTGCTGACATGAATTAAGTCATATCTTATATGATTTTAAGAAGCGTTGGTGTCAGTAAAACAGCTAAGAATGATTTTTTGTGTATATAAATCAAGTATTTGTTGTAAATTAATGATTTCTTTAATGAAGTCAATCAATTTATGAGCATTGTACCTTGTGAATGTATGCATAAGCCCGTGCACACGAAAATGGAGAGAACAGATAATAAAATGCACATGCATTCATTACCGGCAGTAGCAAAGGGGGGGGGGTGACCCCTCACTTTTTTTCCCATCATTACCTTTTCTATTTGAAATGTTCATTGAAAGGCTGGCCCCCCACCCCCACTATATACTACATGTGTATATGTAATTGATATCAGGGAATTGCAGCATTGAATTCTCAGAAATTGGTACTGAAAGAAGCTGACATTGAAAAATGTTGGCCTCTACACCCCCCCACCCCCCAACCCCCACCTCCCGACCCCCGAAATAGGATTTTCGATGTTGGGTAATTTCCCTTTTTTGAGGGGTTGTCAACTTTTTCAGGTAAGTCAAAAAAAAATTCTCTAGGCTGCCCTCTTCATTTAAAAAGATTTTATCAAACCCTTTCAAAAAAGATAAAAATAAACAACCAATTGTTTTTATTGGGGCAAAACGGAGGGATGAAAGATCTAAGTACATACATGGCCAGAATTTAATGCCTATGTATTGCGTCAATCTGTTACATTTCTTGGTATTAGCTGGTTTAGATAATAAAGACAGCAGAGAAACAACACATATTTTGAAAAAAAAAAAAAAAAAAAAGAACGAATGCGCTTTTGATTGGCATTTGGCAGCAATCTGGGCGTAATTGGCAAGTGAAAATTTTATCGACATGTCACATGAAATTTTAACATTTTTTTAATTTATCGGGTTCCTGTGTAACAGAAAACGAAAACATTTTCACGAACTTGAGCTAAAAATATAACTTGAAAATTGGCCAGATCAGACATTTTGTACAAAATGGTATTTTGTTTTTAACAATTTTTAATTTTTAAACACGTTTTTCTAAAATATTTCTATCTCTGGGTCTTCTCTCCATTATTTTGAAACGTTATATGTGTGTATTTCGATTCAAAGGAACGAATTAACTTTTTTAGAAAATGGAGAGAAGACCTAGGGACCACAAAAATGAACTTTTTCCGAAAAAATCCAAATGTATGAATGTGGTGGTTCTTTGTCTTTTTAAAATCATCTTAATATGTGTAGCGGTGATAGCTCAGTAAGTTGGGCTACCTGTTCAGTGCACTCAAAGCGAAAAGTTTTTGGTTCGAGTCTGGCATGGGGCGTTAAATCTTTTTTCATGCAAGCAACCATTTATTTTCTCCGTTTCGTTTTATGTACTGATGTATTAATATTTTGAATTAGATAATTTTTGATTCAGTTTGAATCTCGGGCGAAATCAATTCTAATCTTTTCAATAATGTACATGTACAAAGTAACCAAGTATCATGAATCTATGCATTAAATTTTTTAGGTGTTTATTTTTTGTGAAACATTACTATGTTATAGTACCACCTAGGAAAAACCGACATAAATGTTACAATTTCACAAGGTCTTTCAAACTGAATGAAAAAACAACCAGGACTTGTTTTTAAAATCTGACATACTATGTTTAGCCCACCAAATCATGAACATTTAAACCATAAATGTTTCGTACAAATGATTCCTGCAGATCACTCGCCAAATGCGCTCATCTTCTTTATACATGTAAGCGTAACTGCCTCTTCCTTTTCCAGAGAGAGAGAGAGAAAGAGAAAGAGAGACAGAGAGAGAGATAGAGAGAGAGAGAGAGAACTTGATCAAGACCAGAAAGGACGTTATTCCTTATATCTTTTCTAAATTACTTATCCAATAATACAAATAACTATGAAAAAATGTACTTATATATTGTCATGTAGCTCCGCTTTTCTGATTCTGCTAAATGTAAACAAGATTGTTCACAAGTAGCTACAGTTGTATGCTATATTACATTTTTATTTTTACACAAAACTGGACAAAATGAACTAAACTGCTAAAGATATATGTATGTAAAAAATAATTGATGAAAATAATAGTTTAAATGAATTAAAAAAAAAACATGCTTAAAAAAATTAGTCTCTAATCCAATCATGGTCGGGACACACCAATTAAAGAAAAACTGACTCAAAAATGTTTTTAATAAGCAAGGAAAATAAAAACATTAATCGTCTCCAAACCTGAAAGTTTTTTTTTTTACATTTAATTATAGTTATACAAAATATGTATTCGCATATGGCTTTAACTGCTAGATTTGTTCGCATACTCGCTACTCTAAGCGTAAAAATTTACTTCGATTGTTTTAAGTAAATTCTTTAAAGAACTAAAGGGAGCTTACCCCCAACACCCGTTCCCCTTACATCTACATATGATGGTAACTTAAAATACATGTAAGGACTTCTTGTAGTTCTTCATTTACAAAAAAGAAAAAGAAGAAAATGCTAAGATGGAATTTTACGACATCTTAACTTAGGATAATCCTAAGGTACTTTCGTTTTACAACCCAAGACATATCTTAAGATGTACCTAAGATATGTCCTTAGAAATATCCTAAGACACGTCTTAAGACATATCTTAGGAAATTTTTATAAGCATACCTGCAGGAAAGGAAAATCTACCAAATCATAAGTCATCGCGGCAAAATTTGGCAAACATGTGTCAAAATTAGTCCAAGGTATATAAAAATGTCAGTTCACCAAACTGGAGTTGGCGAAATACATGTACATTTACTGGAATAAATCGCCATCATTTGAAGAGCACGCCTTTTTTAACAAAACAAGAGGCACATGGGCCACATCGCTCACCTGAGCACTAAGGGTAGGAAAAAGTAGAAAATGGCTTTTTATTGTAAAGTTTAAATCCAAAAATAGTCCCATGACCAATCAGGGACTTGCTATTTTTTAGAAAATGATTTTTAAAGAATTTTTTTTGTATATATCTTCAAAAACTTTGGTCAGCCATTTTGGCCCCGCCCTACCCCTGGGGGTCATGATTTGAACAAACTTGAATCTACACTACTTGAGCATGCTTCCATATAAATATGATGAATTATGGCTTTGTCATTCTTGAGAAGAAGAGGTTTAAAGAATTTTCCTATATATTTCTATGTAAAACTTTGATCGGCCATTTTGGCCCCGCCCTACCCCCGGGGGTCATGATTTGAACAAACTTGAATCTACACTACCTGAGCATGCTTCCATATAAATATGATGAATTATGGCT